TTCAGCCAAAGTACCCCAGCGCGTAACGTCTTTAGTTGTATCCGCTGACGAAGTTTGATTGAAAAATGCCGATCCCAAAGGATAATTGCTCCGTCGAATGGCGATTTTGTCGGCATGTTTTTTCACTTTTGTTGCATGATCTGTCAGTGCCACGCATGCACGGGAGCCATCGTTAATTAAGTCACTACAATACACACAATAAGCTTTGCCTGCTACGTCAAAGCTTATTGTCCAAGAGCTTCTGTAACTTCGTCGAACTTGGAACCAATTTTAACCTTTACAGTGACTTTTCTGTCAAGCCAGTCCTATCGGAATTTATTCTTGACATTTGAGTCAATTTCTAGGATTAAAGACTCCTGATCTTTCGTCAAAAATTTCATAATTCCGCTCAAAACGATCCCAGAACAATGAATTTGCGAGACGAACAGGCCGCCGTGAATCAGGTAAAACAATATGTTACATGCAATTTGATTGGTCCAATCGCTTGTAGTTAACCAATCGCTGGGCCGTTTATAATCGAGCTAAGACTTCCGCAACAAATAATGCCTTTAGTGATCTGATTAGTTGAAGCTTTCATACACGTCCAATCGCAGGGCTGTTTACAAACGGAAAACGGAGAGACTGTTCGGGAGAGCTCGTGAAAACTCGACGATAAGGTACCTGACCGCCCCTAAAATTTTCTCAACGGATTTAGACGATTCACAAAAATGATCAATTTAAGAAATAAAACGGCGGATTTCCGCGGATCCGCGGAAAATTGCCATGTATGTGTGTCTCATATTCACCTTTTGATCTGAAACCCAAATGTCCTCAGCATGCAACAAAAGCAAATGATTTGACCTTGCTTTTACAATACTATTACAGGGGACTGTTTGTACATCATTGTGCTTTCTGGGGTGATTTGCGGGCAGACTAACCTTTTCCTCAAGTGGCATGACGAGGATGCCCCCAACCTTAATTAGGTTCTTCATGTATTTCTCGTGATCCTTCTGCACCCCGGCCCCACAGTACACTCTGTCATACTGACGGCTCTCCGGAGGGATCTCCAGACAGTTGCCCACCACAAAAGATGGCTCGCAGAACTCAAATCTGTTTGGAGGCCAAGTAACAGCAATGAATAGCAACACTTCACCCTTGAGTGGGGATTTGGCTAAAGCTTGCTGCTATTCAGATTCGGAATCGGGAGTCCCATGTCGTGCTAATCGCTTTGCCGTGCTATTTAAAAACTAGACAATGTGACAAAACCATTTTGATACTCACTTGTCAAAACTGTCACTGGTTTTGATGAAGGAATCGAGCTTCTGGTAGGCGTACTCAATTACATCAGCATGTAACTCAATCCCATGATTCACTCCGAATGGTCCTGTGAAAAAGTTGAATCGGGGCACCCATAATAATCAGTCAATTAAGCAATTATTATGCCTACTCCAACATAGCACGACTGATTGACTCCCTTGCAATAAATCCTGTGGAACCTGAAATTACAAACTTAATTGGTTCCGTGAGTCTGTTTGTAACCTAGAGTGTTCAGAAATTGAGGTAATGTTTCCATTGAAATGAATGGAAATGCAATTAATCTGTTCCAGCCCAAAAATTAAGTTAAACATAGTCATTTTGTTTTTAACCAGAGTGTGGAAGGCAACTTAAAAAATATGTGAAATACCCTCTTATCATGAAATAAAACACTTAAAAAATATGAGAACTATTTATTGCTCATTAACTTTAACTATGAAGGGGGAAAGGGTGAGAATTACAGCTCCATCACTGAGAGTCTTCTTTCATAATCACATGGGGAAATTCTGAGGCAAGTTTTTTTTGTTTTTCTTCAATGACGTCCGTTTCTTTTCTAATTCACCGGTTGATGTTGGCCTACCGATCCAGGGAAACTTGTCTTTTTCTGCTAAAACAAAAATCATAAAGTGGGATGTCACATTGTCATTTAAAAGATACATTTGTCACAAATGTCTTTTGATCATTTTCATAATTTTTTTTACTGTCTTGCTTACGCAATCACTAACGAGTGATTCAGTCAGTCAAATAAAAGAGGAAACCAAGAAAGTTTGCATACCAGTGCCTAACTTGCCTTGTGTGATGCAATGCCTGGTTACACAACGCAAGAAGATCACAGATCTGCCTGCTTATCTATGAAAGCGCTTTTGAATGCTCCCTTAAGTTTCTTCTTAGGGGCCATTCTGACTGTTGTTGAATGCTTTATTTCCATAGTTGGCAAAAGTTCAACACGTCAATGTGGTCCCTACTTCTGCATTCATTCATAAAACGCGGCTGGTTCTGGCATCTGTGATTAGGTCAATGTATTGTGCGAAGGTGGAACTTATTAGTACGTAAATAGAGGTACATATTCTACAAAAAAATTGTGCGTAAGTCAAATTGTTTGTCAGAAGGGACGTTCATAACTCCAGGTTCCACTGTATTAGTTACTTCTTTCTACCTTCAAAATAGTCAAACTGTGTTTATCATGCTGCCTAACTCACATGATGATTATGGTGTATTTCACCACATGAGCTTTATTAGGATCACGCACATTTATTCAATCACCTACCCAGTATGAGGCCCACCATGGTACTGAGATAGCCTGTCCCACTGCCGAGGTTTAGGAAGGAGATACGAGGGTGAAGGTCCAAAGCCTCCATCACCTCAGAGTAGATACACGGAGCTGATAGGTGAATGTTTCCATGACGCCAAGCCAAGTCCTAAATATCAACAAAAATGAAGCAGGTCAGCCTTCTTGAAACTCCAACCAGGTCAAATTTTGTTTTTGTTTTTTTTACTTTGCTCACCTTATAGGCGTTCTCCCTATATTCATCGAGGTAATAGTCGGCGCGGTCAATGGCACGAAAAGCCCGCTCCACCAGGTCTGAGCGGATGTAGTACGCCTCCTTGAGGTTGTCAATCAAGTCATCATTGTCCTCGCCTGCACTCACAGCTCCACCCATGATGCCTGAAGGAAAGGGAAACAAACACATACTGTAATTTACAGTGAGTCTATTGTGTGAATCTAGGAATTATTTTTTCTTTGGGGGCTATTATGGAAATACATTATTGGACAAAAGCACGAGTTATACCTGAAACTACTATTAAAGAAACTTAATGATCCTTTGGCAAATTAGCTTGTTTGGCTTTATGTCTTTTGTTACCATGTATTTAACTTTGCTGTTCAGTTCATAAACTCCTAAGCAGTGAGGTAACACAAACTTACAAAAAATGCAATCTTGTTTATCTTGAGCGTGACCTTCTATGACTCCCATGCAAATAACAACAAACATCATCATCACAAGGGAAATACAGAATAAAGTGTTTCAAGGAGGTGAGGTAATATTTTTCACAGGTTTCAAACTCAAGAACTGCAGGCCAGATACCGCCCTCTATATCCTTCAAATAATTTTATATCTCATGGTCTGCTTGGAGCATGAAGCCCTTCATTCTGGAGGTCAGCCATATCAACAATTTGGGCTGCAAACAGTGTTCCTATGTGTGTTTTCTTACCTTACAGTAAGTTTACACTTTTAATACAGGTTTGGGGGGCGCTTGAGGTTGAAATCCTGCTTTTGGCAGCATAATGCAAGGGCAGGTAGGTGTGAATGAATGCAGCCTTTGTGCTTCCGAGAGGTGTTAAAAACAACAGTAGAGCTCAGGGCAACAGGACAAAAACATCACAGGGTGCACAGGCTGACCACGAAGCCATAAAAGAACAAAAAATAATGTGAATTGCACCGTTTGTTTCCAAGGATAGTGAGACACTGCCACCCGCATAAAAATCTGGCCTTGATAAGTTACCTCCGTAAAACAGGATCGTTGGATATTAAAGAGAGGCCACCGAGCGGCGCTGTGACCAATTCCTCCCTTGGTAGCACATTTTGGTTCGTAAGCTAATAGTGGACCCGCTTCTCACAAAGCTCTGACTAAAAAGCAATTGATAGACGATTCGGTACAGTACCTTTCGCGTCCATTTGTAGGAAGATGTCTTTATTATCATCGTAATGCATACGTTTAATCTAGTTCCAATTCACTGCACTTATGCACCACTTTAGCTGCAAATGTACGTCACTCAGGTGCTAGATAGGATCGCCGTAATCACCACCAGCAGACCAAATAATTAAACCTGACTGTGCTCCGGCGAGAAGGTCAAAACAATCCAGCGTCGTCGACTTCGCACGAAGGTGGAAAAGAATAGGGACGCAAACAAAAGATCCAGTTAACTGATTACAAACGAGGTGAGGACATACGTACCTCAGTGGGCCGCTGATGGAGCCTTCCTGTTTGTGATCTCGTCAATGGCCAGCCTCTTGTTGTTCGCCGATCCAGTCAAAAACTCACCACTGCTGGATGTAAACATTTGGCCAGCTGACGTTCTGACGTCAGACGTAAGTCACGTAAAGACGCCAGCCAAAGCGGGACGCCACGCGGTGATGCGAATCAGTCTGCAAGCAAACGTTCGCAAACTTTGCGGTCTGAGCCAAGAAATGTTGCTTCAACAGTATTGGAAAATCACACACGTCATTTCTGCACGTTCCCTTGTCTTCTTCTTTTCGTGGCTAAGTTTATCAACATCACTCTGACGAGTGCATGCTACGTCTGTCTCTACAAAATCTTGTTCAGATGAAGGGTAACTGGAAATCGAGGGTCACGTGACATTAACCACAACCAATCGGCAGAAGGCTGCTCACTTGACGGAAACACGTATTTTACTCTATCCCCGCCTTTTTTAACCAAATCCAAAATATTATACAGGTATCAGAAATGCACATGGACAAACTGATGCTTCGTACTGCATAATTAAACTGCACTGCAAAATCTCGTTCAGATGAAAGTTCAATGGAGTGGTCATGCTGTCTGCTGTCCATTGACCACACTGAAGCAAATGCAACGTTTCTCTCTCTCTCTCTCTCTCTCTCTCTCTCTCTCTCTCTCTCTCTCTCTCCCCCACACACGCAGTCCAGCCACCACGAACAAAATCCTGAGTCGAGACTCTCTCTCTCTCTCTCTCTCTCCCCCACACACGCTCTCACTCTCACTCTCTTCTAATCATTTTATCCTCAAAGGGTATCAAAGTGTGATTGTGAGTGCAAATGGTTGTTCGCCTCTGTGTGCTCTGCGATTGACGGACAACCGGTTCAGGGTAACCCCCGCCGATTGACCGAAGACAATTGGGATAGGCTCCTGCACCCCTCGCGACACTCGTGAGGTAACAGATTAGAAAATGGATGGCTGGATGGATCTATCCATTTGAAAAGTTTACTTGCTTCTCCACTAGAGGTCAATACAGTCCATGAAAGCTGCATGCACTGCAACTGTATTCTCACTAACAATCCGAGGCCCCATTTTTGACGAGACAATTGTGCACTGTCATAGCATACTGCTTGTCCATAATGATATTCGTCATAATTGGCAATTTAATTATCAGATACAAATGCTAATCTTAAAATAACATTGTTTTCAACTATTGTGTTTAAGCTCCCCAATGGCTCAGTAGTTGGCCACATTGAAATCATGTGCATCAATTGTACAGTGAGGTGTAGGCAAATACTGTAAACACTTCTTGTTCAAACCACATGTGATGGTGTCTATCGATCAATTTTCATGAAATAGAACACAAACGGAACACAAAACACCGAACGGACAGAGCTGTCCTTGTCTATGAGTCTTTATTTGTGTTTCATAGAGAACATTTAAAATGATTCATACGCCCACAATAACTGACATCACTTCTCTGGGTTAGAACACTGACACAGGAACATGTACACAAACACACAATCACAAATTCGGCCAAACTACAGTGTCTTACTTAAAAAATATATCAGTAAATAAATTAAATAAAGCAATCATATTTTAAAACCATAAAGAAAAAGAGACCCCGAGGAGACACACACACACACACACACACACACACACACACACACACACACACACACATACGCACACGCACACACAGCCAAGACCTGTCCCACTTTATAAAATGGTGCAGTAGCAAAGTAACAACCACATCTACAAAAGTAACAAAAAATACCATACAATCTATCATTGTGGAAGTGCTTGTAAGTTTGGAAGTGTTGCACTTATTTAAAAGGATATCAATATCAATGCCTAGAAAATCACCAGTAAAAATAGCTCATCTCTGTAAAAATGTGCTAGCAGGACAAGCCTTGGCTGTGGTTGCATTTTCTTTTGTCAGAAACTATTTTTCACCAATTGTCTTCATTACAACAACTATAACACTGTTTCCTCTTAATAGAAATATGTACAGACGTCCACATGTTTCAAAATAATGCCCTGCACACTGTTGCAGTATCTAGGGGTGGTGTGTTTTTTTTGTTTTGTTTTTGTTATTCCTTCACAGCTACTGTCCATGCAGTTTGATACCTGAATCAAATGATGAGATCACAGTTTCTTTTGCCTGAACAAAAAGTTTGCCTGTATGTTACCGTTTGTTATAACACCCCCTCAAGTAAAGATATCCAGTCCGAACTGTGTAGCAGTGTAAACATACCATTATTTTTGAATGGGTGGCATGAGAAAGGCACGCATGATAAGACCACACATCTTGAAACTACAGCGGGAGGGAGTTGGGCTCTTTTGGTTTTAGTCAGCTGAATGAAATGTGCCACACAAACTTTGTTGTTCTGCTCCTACAGGTTCACACTGTGTGTAGATGAGAACCTGAACTAAAACCAGAATGCAAATATCACTTTTTATTTCACTTTTGAATTTGTTGCTGGATTTGGGTCCAGGCTATTTCCCTGAAAGTGACACAGCATCCCCGAAAAAAAAGGGGGGGAGGGGGGAAGTAGCGTGACATAGTGGGCCCTGGCTGCTTTTTTTTTTTTCAAAGACATTCCCACATGTATAACGGTAATAATGCAAGTACTGACTCCATCACAGGGAAATTTCATTTAAAGAAGCAAACATACAATGTGTGGACACCAAGTCAGCACCCTTAGGCTACGGCGGCTGACATTTTTGGAGCATGGTACACTTTTTACGGCCTCTGTGATAATCATTTACATACCTCGCTAGACAATTTCATCAAGCAATTTAAAAGTGGTCATTCCATATCAAATAAATTGGGGAAAATATTCACAGTCATAAATAGTACTCGCGTGCATTTTGAGAGAGAGATGGGGGGGGGTTCTTTGAGGGTAGGTCAGAAAAAGCTTTGACATTCTTTTTAGTGATGGACTCATATTTATGCAACAAACACTTCCAAAAGAGAAAGATTGTGCAGCCTGGCAAATCAATTTCCCACTCCCACACACACTATGCCTTCTTGCTTAGTGCTCCAGGCCTCAGCTAACTGTTGACCTGTGGTGTCACTCAGTTGAGAGACAAACTCAGCTAGAAGCCAATCTCTTTATTTGTATTTTATGTTATTTTTTTAGGAGTGGGGTGGCGGTAGGGTGGCTGTGAAAGTGTTTTGCTTACAACTATATCACTGAAAGCACAGGCCACAAAATCAAGGGGGAAGCTTGTTTTTGGACCAAACAAAAATCAAATGCTGGCATTTTTTTTTCAACAGTTCTTCAGAAAGTGCACATCCGAGTTTCATTCTACATTGGCTAGAAGCACACCGAAAACATGCCTTTGACATCATTTACACACGGGATCATAATATACACCACAGTAAGCTGCGACAGACCACTTAGGAGGCAGGGTTAACACTAAAAGTCTCCTTGTTGCTTGTTTCAACATTATAGAGGACCAGCTGGTGTTGCCCAGTAACAATACAATAATTGCACAACATAGCCAAACATTATGTGCAGAACATTATTCGGAGCCATCATCATGTACCCCCCCCCTTTTCATTTTCCTTTTTTTTTCTCTTCAACTCTACAGGAACTTACATGACACCCAGAAATAAAGAGCCAAACATCTAGTATCAATCTTAAGATTCAGTACGACGTACAGGGAGTAGATGTCTCTCTGTTAACATCTATGGATTAAGGACAAATAAAATACAAGCGGGCAGAGTGGTAACACTTTTTTCGACAACCCTAACGTATTACGTTTCCTAATTGCCTTCAACTCAAGCGAGTGTTGTATTTAAAGCCACAGTTGAGCAGGTCTGAGTGTAACTGCCTCCTATTGTTACACAGCCCTCACATCTCTTCTCGTCAGCCAGTGATGCTTTGATAAGGAGTAGAAGCTCAAGTCCACAATTACACTGGAAAAATATATGTATGTTTATATTCATATATATAGCATTTTTCAAATCTATCTTTACAGAATGAATATATAGTGTACTCATGGCCATCTTGGCAGAGAAATAAAGGCATCTGAAACAATCACCATTCTCTTGATGCCGTGGTCTTCCCATGACCAGACATAGGAACATTGCAAAAATGCCAAGAATCTGGAAATAAGAGTTTTATTTTCCCCTCTTCTTTTACTGGCACTTTGTGCATCAAAACAAAAATTAAATAAATAAAGATCTACAGTAAGGCTACAAGGGTGTGTATTTTTGTCAAACGGAGGCCATCCTACAGTTTGGTTTGTGTAAGTGTTTGTATGTTTGAAAGCCAACTCAAAATAACGCAGGCCCACAGTTGCGTGATTGAGCTGGAATGAAAGAAGTAAGATTTTTTTTGTGTTGTTTTGTTTGCTTTTTTTTTTTTTTTTGAAAGAAAAAGAACGTTTCCAAATGCATGATGTGTAAACATATATCGTACATTATAGAGGTTTGGGGTGAGTTATGTCGGCTGCTACAAAATGCCTGGGTAGGTCACTTTTTTTGTTTGGTTTCCTTGTTTTCTTTTTGTCCCAAAAGCAAACATGAGCTGGCAGAAACGAAACAGAGAACAGATAGCAACACAACAGTGACCGTATTCAGTTTTTTTGAATCAGCTGCTGGCAAACCTACGCCATCAAACAATACCTGTGCTGAATTTTTTTTTTTTTTTTGTCTTTATTTAAACATTGTCAGTGGATCTTTAAGACTACTCGGACTCATCATAGTCACATCACGCACATAAATAACAAAATAAATATACAGCCATCAATCAATTCCTTTCACGTTAAATAAATAATAAATACATATTTTCTCTTTTTTTTTTCCAGTAGTGTGTTTTGTAACATATCAGTACCAGAAAGAACATACCGGTAAACAAAATTTAAAAAAACCAAACAGGAATAATTGAGAAAAAAAATGAAAAAGGTGACTTTTTGTTATAAAACATTTGTTTTAAAAAGTACTCAACAAAAATATGCCTTGTTGTTTATCTATAAAGATTCTTAAAATATTGATGTAAGACATCTGCAAATTGCTTCCATATTAATCAGTAAAGATGCATTCTGCTTGTGTTACAAAGTCAATAAATAAATTGCTTCAAATAAATAAACCTCAAGAACATAAATGTCAATAAGTTACAATTTAAGTTCACAAATTTAAATAATTCATATACAGTAATCATTGGATCACAAAACTATTCATTGAAATGAAGTGCAATTCCTATGTTGATATAAATACTATTGATATGACTAACTGAAGTCGAAATGCGTGCGCACACTGCGACGATGCGCGCGTCCGTTTTTCGAAAACGATGAAAGAAAAGTTGTTCATCTGCTGCTGTTTCAACCCCAGAATCAGTCATCACACGGAAGAAAGAACACAACCTTCGCTGGTCCTGGATCAAGCTTGCCACTTGACTGCGTTCACAAAATGGGATCAACATTGTGTTGACTCCTTTGGTGCGGTAGTAACGCAAAGCAAACACACAATGAGTTTAGTGCATGCTCCATATTGCTGGGTTTTGTTTGTGTGTGTGTGTGTGTGTGTGTGTGTGTGTGTGTGTGTGTGTGTGTGTGTGTGTGTGTGTGTGTGTGTGTGTGTGCGCACGCTGGGGTTGTTAAGAGCTGGTGAAGACACACAGACTTGCCACAGTGAATGCTACGCAACTAATGTTGGACTCCTCATCCTTTTCAAGTTCGCCATTGTTTCAAGCAATCAAAGCAAAACAAAACAAAAAAACAAGAAAAACAAGCGACCAAACAAAAAGGATCATCTGGGCAACAGTGAAACTTGTCCTCATAGACATCTCAGGACACACAAGAGATATCATGAGAAACCATACGGCACACGGAACGTCTCAGATGCAGTAGCTCATCGTAGCCTTTGGCTACGATGCCATCCATTCTGCCTGAAGGATTCGTTTCCTCTTCACATCCTCACTGATCCCAGAAGCAGCATGGTGGGGATTTTGGTCCGCGTCCTTTTCTGCTCATAGATTACTCCCTGGGTTGTGTTTATTTAAATAACCTGAATTCCCTTTTTGTTGTTTTTGATTTCTATTATTTGACGTATTTCAATATCCCTGTGACTCTCTGTCACGCTTATTCGGACAGCTTCGCTCTTCCGCACGTGCGCGTCTCAGACTTTGATACCCTTCACAGCTTTGTTGATGCTCTCCAGTAGAGCCTTATTCTCAGGGCTCTGGAAGCAGTCTTTGTTGGTGTACATGTCGGTCAGGGTGCTCACGTAGCTGTCAAAGTTCTGCTCCGTGATGGGCTCCTGCTGTGGTGAAAACGACAACCAATCGCAACTGAGTCCGAGAGGCAAAACTAATCCGGGAATGGCGACGAGTCTTCACTCCCTTTGCTACCCAATGAGCTCAAGCCCGTACAGGCGGCTATGTTTGTGAGCGTGTGTGTCATTGTGCCAACGTGTGTATGTGTGGACAAGAACTCACCATGTGCGGCACGCGAATGTTAGCCAGGCTGCGGATCAGAGCCCGGCTCAGCCCGGACAGCTCCATGAAGAGAGCCTCGTTCTGCTCCTCGATCATCTTGTTCTCATGCTCAATGTTCTTCAAATTTTTTTCCATTGAAGTGATCTGCAACACAAATAGTCGCCCAGGTTATGCTCGTTCAGCACCATCATATCAGTTGCGGTTCATTGTTTGCTCATACATGACCTGCTGCTGGATTCCTTCTTGTTACACTACAGAAACGTTCACTTCCACTCCACAAAAAAAGGTTTTGGGGTGAAAATTCTGGATGAGCCTAAAATGCACTATACAGGTAACTTCTACAGGTGGATTTAGTTGACCTCTAAACTTTTGAATGCACATGCGCACTGTTCAATACATCAGTGCTTTTTGTACAACTTGCCGATCTCTCCTAAGGAGCTGCATAGCAAAATTCACAACCGGTGGCTTTTTTTTTGTCCCCGCGGATGTCAAGTTCGATGCCTTGCTGCGACTCTCCCAGTCCCTCTGTATCTTTGCGGCAACTTGCTGATGACAGTCTGTGACACTCTAAGCTCAGTGGCCTCTTATTGCCTTTTGAGAACATCCCATCGGAGACCTTGCAACGGCAAAGCAAAGTACTGTTGACTTGTCAATTGTTGGGTGTCATCTTGGTGTCAAAATTTGAGCAAGATGATGAAGAGGACCATTAAAATAGCAATGGTGCCAAAGCAATATTATAAAATAATGGAGGATGTGGTCTACAAAAATACACCACTAAGCGAATCGGGTTGACTGAACTCATAGAAGCCATATCCCCCAAATATTAAGTATATTATATTAATGAAGTATAAACATTAATATTAAAATCAGTGGGCTGAAGATGTAGTTAAAGAACAGAGACACACACCTGAGTTTGCAGGTTGACTACATCTGCCTCCATTTCGTTGTTGGATTCGTTGAGGTCATTAATCTCTTTGTTGAGCTGTTTGATGTCCTCGTCATTGTCCAGAACTAAAAAAGGAAAAATGAGATCGCTTCAACTACTTCATCAGTCTGCATTTGTTTAAATATAATTTTTGGCACATAAATATTTTACCATCACTGGCTCTGAACTTGTTGCTCAGATAGTCCTCCGTGGGAAACTTAGCCTTTTTCTTGGCATACAATGCCCTGGGGCACCCTGAGAGGCTGCACAAAACACATTTACACAAGTCATAAATTAGATAAGTAAGATGTGAATGTGCACTATTATTTGTGGTACATCATACATTCACGCTGCTAAGTAAAGTAGTTATTTTGTGACAATTGGAAGTTTCAAATCTGCTCGAATGACCATGACATGTGGAGTCCCACAAGGGTCAGTTCTTGGACCTCTTTCGTTCTGTCTGTATACTATTTGATATTCTTGGGTAAAATGCTTCAGAGGGGCCATGTCGACTATCATTGCTCTGTGGATGTCGCACGGCTATATTTATCAACCTCCTCAGACGACAGCAGTTCAATTAATGTGTTGTGTCACTGTTCGAATCAAATGTGGATGAAGTAAAGTTTGCTTCAGCTAAACCAAAACAAAACTGAACTGACATGTTGGCATTTAACATGCTGTATATGAACTAACATTTTGCATGAACAATGTAATGTAATGTCCCGTGAGGAAGACCATCTTTTGTGTGCAGCTTACCTGCGGTGTGTGAGGAAGCTACCGTTTGCGTGTCCGGAGCCGTCACATCCCGGGGTTGGACATGTTGGTCCTTCTGTCTTGAAGGCCTTCCAGTTGAAAGGTGTGCCATTCAGGAGTCCCTCCTTCTGCCTGCGCGCTGCCAGCGGACACCCGTAGGCGCTACGATGCGTGGCGTACTTCCCGCTAATGTGTCCCAGGCTGTCACATCCCGGCACCGGACATCTGCTGGGAGCAAATCGGAGGAAAAAGACAGAGAGAAAGAGACAGATGTGGAGAGAATGTTGAAGAGAAAAGAGTGAGGAGGGAAGGCACAAAGGTTAGATCAGGAGAAAGGAATAACAAAAACTGAAGGTACGATTGAAGTTACACACCCTCATTGGGCAAAAAACAATGACTCGGTTCAGTCATTTACATTATGTCATGCAAATACCACTACTCATCATCATGTTGACATTACCGTTTTGTGCGCAAATGCAACATGAAGCGCATGTATTTCATATGTATTGACAATCTGCTGTGCATTACTTGACTTTCACAGTCACTATGTGAAGCTCAATGTCTTTCCCCATGAGTCAGGGGCCTGACTGATGCAGTCACGTGGACAGGTCGCTACCTCGGCATATGACTCACAGTGACTTTCCTCGCTCTCCCTTCATTGCATTTTACGTAAGTCTTGCTAAAAGCAGACATTAAGGCTTTCTTTACGAACTTTAAAAGCTCCGAGTCCTCCTGGTTGTCCTTGGTAGGAGTTTTAATTCCACTTTTCTTGGCACGCGGGCACCCAGAGAGACTGAAAACAGAAAGTATGGAGTTGATAACATAAGGTTGAGAAAGGGCTGGTCAAGTGATTTCTTGAGAAAGAGAAAGAACAAAGGCAAGGAAGAATATTTTCACAGAGGTACTTCAACCAAATCAAAAACCAATTCAACTCAAGTGCCAGATATGAACCAAATCATTAAATGATAGCAATATGTGTGTGTATGTAGTCCCTGTCTAATTCTATCATGAACTGTCACTGAGCCTCTCTGACTGACAGTGTATGTGCATGTGTTTGTGTGTGCGTGTGTGTGTGTCTGTGTGTGTGTAGGATTATTGTCTGTGCAAGTGGCTGCGTGAACCTTTCTTTGTTTGTGTGTTACCTTCTATGGGAGGCGTAGTTTCCCGTGATATGACCTGAGCCATCACATCCTGGGGTGGGACATCTAGCGGAAAAATACAACAATGATTGACATTGCCCAGAAATGTTGACGATGAGAGTCAGGCTGCGATTGTAAATTGCTTTCAGTGTCACTTTGTGTGCAAACATCTTTTCTCTCCACACGTCTCAGGGCTTGCTATTGCACATTTACATCGACACTAATTGAAATCCAAGCAAGAGTAGCCCAAGACCAGATTGAGCAGAGATAGCGGCAAACAACAAAAGATAAGCAGAATCAAAGCTGTGTGGCGTTTGGGTGTCAGTAGCAGTGCTGTGAGAAGACAGTGAAGGTGTAGCGCAGACATACTTGAGTTCAGGGGTGTGTGCTGCCATGAGGGACCGGAGGCTCTTATCAGCGAGAGGACACCCAGATAGACTGAAGGGACGGTTGGGGGAGGAGAGCGAGTGAAGGACAGGCAGAAGAAGAGGATGAAGACAGAGGAGAAGGTACGAGGGGAAAGAGACGTGAGTGAAGGGGAATCAAGATTTCAAGGCATACCAAGGTCATTTAGGAAAAAGAGGACAGGCGGCAAGGAGTAAATCACTGATGCATATCTAAGTGGCACTGGCCGTCTCTGCCTCTTGGTGCTACACAACATTATTGCCTTTGGAGCGACAGCTTCAAATAACATTTGAATTAGTGCTTTAAATTCAACAGAAAGGTGGAAAGCGGCAGCATCACTGAAGTCGTTTTATCGCCATCCTTAGTGCCAAACAGTGAGCCAATGACAAAATGTACGTATTGTTGTATAAACAAACACCCATCATCCTTATAGCATTGTTTTTGATGTCAATCATTTTTTTTGGGGGGTACAAATAGGGGCACGGATAAGTCGTGCTCCAGTTCATAGATTTTGCTCAACAATCAGGTCGTAAATACGAGGCAAATACGACCAGAAAAGTCGTTTGCATTATTTGTAGTCTAGCACAGTGGTTCTCCAACGTTTTTACAAGTACCACCATAAAACTCTCACCAAGTACTAATTCATCAAAAACGACATAAAGCATTCATTTCTAGAAGGTGTATTTATTACTGTCAGCCACTGTAACATGTATAGTTTTAACATTAAATATTGGAAAATAAAACACTTTACTCAAAGGTAATGTGAGTAGAATTTAGTGCCTTCTAGTGGTGAACTAATAGAATGCAACGACCTAAACTCAATGCACGTGCATTTTGAAGAACGCGGCGCCTCAGGGAGATCACACTTTGCAAGTCTACCATCACTTTCTTCAGCAAAGGTGCACACAAGACGTCATCCCAAACAACTTCCATTATTCCCACAAGTGACGCAGGAAGTGCATGGCATTTTTTACACATGCTGTAGTCATGACGTTGAGCGACTACGTTCGCTAAGTTTGTCAACTTTGGTTATCCTTAGCAGAAAGATGACGGCGCAACATGGCAGCCTCCTGTAGGGGAGGAACGCCCCTTGTAATTTAATTAATGATTACTTCACCTACAACTACATTAAGAAATAATTACATTGATGTAACATTTTTTTTCACATTTAGGAAATCAATAGTGTTTTTAAAAAAAACAATGAACAGTGAAAAACTCAAACACATTTTTACAAACTGTCCCTTGAAATAATGATTCAATTAAAAATGAATTACAGGTAAAACAATTGCTCTTCATTTTTTTTTCTGAAACAGTTATACAATCCAATATACCTTCATATAGCGCTTTCACAACAGCTGTAGATGTAACAATCATGGGCGTCATTAGGCCTATTTTAGGGAGGCTTCAGCCTCCCTAAAAATGTCTTTAGCCCCCCTAAATAATTTCATTGCATTATTTAAAAAAAAGTATTATTTATTTTTCCTGTACTTTTGCTAATATATTCCATCAAATTCAATGTAATGTGGCCATTTTAAATTATATTTCGATAACCTGC